CGCCAGGAGGCTCTGTGCACTCCTAATCCCCCGGAGCCAGCCACCCATGTTTCCACTGGGAGTCAGGTCCCAGTCGACCAAGCTCCCTCAGGCATTTTAGGAATTACACATCAAGGATTAGGCACCATCAAATTACAGCAAGCTCTAAATCTGCAGAGTTTCCAATTAAGCTATAGCTCTTGGTGTCTGGAGATGGATGCATTATCTTCCTTTGCCTAAAACCACTTCAGGGTGCCCAGCAGATCACTGAAACGAGAACTCATCCCGTGCCAGAGTTTATTCCCTTATCGCCACAGAAATTAAAGGGCAAGGGAATAAATGAACGAAAGAGTCTTCCAACCCTACAGGTGTTTGGTCAGGCTCCACCTACAGGCATTTACCATTAACCCATCAAGGGTAGATCCCCGAAGGACACAGAATTAGGAAGCAGAAATCTCCAAGCATTTCTAGGGAATCTGCGAACTAACAAAATACCGCACGTGAAATGTCTGCAGTGTCTGAGCCCGCAACCTGCACTGGTGTCGAGGCATCGTGGACAGAGATGCAGAGGAGGGATGCCCTTCTCCATCCATTTCTGTTTTCTTATATCTGCAGCAGGGGAAGGACTTCCTGGGTGTGAAAGAACAGTTAAAGGTAACAGAGCAAAGTCAATCACAAGGGAAACTGAGCACAAGTGCATTTTTCCTCAGTGAATGGCACAGCGTTCATGACGTGTCCTTCTCAAGGCAAGGATTGGGGAGACAGCAGTGACAAAAAAAAAAAAAGACAGAACTCCTGGCCTACTGGGGGGCTGCATTTTAGCGCCTGGGGGTCTTTTTAACCTTCCAGGTGGCCCACTGCCCCCCATTCTCAGTGGGGTCTTCCTTTCCAAAGCCCACCCCCCACCTCCCAAAGTTCTAAGTCACTCTGAAAGTAGAAAAGGTTTTCTTGGCGAGAATTTTCCCACCTCCACGCCACCCCCTTCCCCCGAAACCTGCAGCCGGCCGCCCACCAGTGGCCCAGCCCCAGGCAAGGGAAGGCCCGCCCCCCAGGAGTGACTGGTCCTTTCCCCACCAGGATGCTGGAATGGGGGGAGAGCTTGCTGCTGCGGGCAGAGGGCGCCTACTTCCCTAGCCGGGACTCCGCGGGAAGGGAGAGGCAAGGAGAGCAAACACACATCAGTGCACCCCTCCCACCGGGCCAGGCTCGAGCAGCTTGGAGCAGAGGCGAGGGGAGGGGCAGGACTCTCTAGGGGCGCTGAAAATTCACCCAAGGACCCCTCCAAGTCCCCAGCGGCGGAAATGCAGCTGCTGTAATTCACCCCCAGAAAGGAGCCGTGCCCAAAACCTATCTGGCTGGCGCAGGAGTCCCGCCTCATGGGCGTCATTTTACAGGCGGAGGAGGGAGGAATGCAGCCCCGGGGTCACATAGTCACGTGTGAGTGGCAGTGGGGCCGGGGAGTGCCATCCTCTTCTGTCTTCTCTGAACAAAATCCCCCCCGTCAACACGCCCAGCTCACTAGCACTTCCCAGACTAACCCGAGGGCCCTGCGCACGGCTGCGGGGCCTGGAAGGCGATCCCGAGATAGGCGGGGCTGCGGATGGGGAAGGAGGCGGGGAAGGAACTGCCCGCCAGGTGAGTGCTGGTGCAAAGCAGAGGTGCTGGGTTGCTTGGGGGCAGCGGTGTGGCGGCCGGGTGGCCGGGCCTGCGGGGCTGCTCAGGTAGGCGTCTCTAAGATGGAACTGTCCCCGTGCCACCCAGGCCGTGGAGTGTGTCAGCGGCCAACCTGGCCCACACCTCAACCTGCCGGCCTATCTCCCGCAAAAAAAACAGGCCTTCGTCCGCCTGCCCCCAGAGGTCAAACCAGGACAGCACTCACAAAAAAAAAAAAAGACAGAACTCCTGGCCTACTGGGGGGCTGCATTTTAGCGCCTGGGGGTCTTTTTAACCTTCCAGGTGGCCCACTGCCCCCCATTCTCAGTGGGGTCTTCCTTTCCAAAGCCCACCCCCCACCTCCCAAAGTTCTAAGTCACTCTGAAAGTAGAAAAGGTTTTCTTGGCGAGAATTTTCCCACCTCCACGCCACCCCCTTCCCCCGAAACCTGCAGCCGGCCGCCCACCAGTGGCCCAGCCCCAGGCAAGGGAAGGCCCGCCCCCCAGGAGTGACTGGTCCTTTCCCCACCAGGATGCTGGAATGGGGGGAGAGCTTGCTGCTGCGGGCAGAGGGCGCCTACTTCCCTAGCCGGGACTCCGCGGGAAGGGAGAGGCAAGGAGAGCAAACACACATCAGTGCACCCCTCCCACCGGGCCAGGCTCGAGCAGCTTGGAGCAGAGGCGAGGGGAGGGGCAGGACTCTCTAGGGGCGCTGAAAATTCACCCAAGGACCCCTCCAAGTCCCCAGCGGCGGAAATGCAGCTGCTGTAATTCACCCCCAGAAAGGAGCCGTGCCCAAAACCTATCTGGCTGGCGCAGGAGTCCCGCCTCATGGGCGTCATTTTACAGGCGGAGGAGGGAGGAATGCAGCCCCGGGGTCACATAGTCACGTGTGAGTGGCAGTGGGGCCGGGGAGTGCCATCCTCTTCTGTCTTCTCTGAACAAAATCCCCCCCGTCAACACGCCCAGCTCACTAGCACTTCCCAGACTAACCCGAGGGCCCTGCGCACGGCTGCGGGGCCTGGAAGGCGATCCCGAGATAGGCGGGGCTGCGGATGGGGAAGGAGGCGGGGAAGGAACTGCCCGCCAGGTGAGTGCTGGTGCAAAGCAGAGGTGCTGGGTTGCTTGGGGGCAGCGGTGTGGCGGCCGGGTGGCCGGGCCTGCGGGGCTGCTCAGGTAGGCGTCTCTAAGATGGAACTGTCCCCGTGCCACCCAGGCCGTGGAGTGTGTCAGCGGCCAACCTGGCCCACACCTCAACCTGCCGGCCTATCTCCCGCAAAAAAAACAGGCCTTCGTCCGCCTGCCCCCAGAGGTCAAACCAGGACAGCACTCACTCTGAACGGCTTTTACCCTGGCTCTTTACCTGGCGGCTTGCTTGTCCCCGCCCACTGCCCGCTCCAGGTCCTGGGGACCACAAACTCCCCGGCCCGGAGCTGAGCCCTCTGGGGCGGCTGGCTCCAGAAGAAAGCTATTCCCCGCCCGCTCCCCACTCGAGCAGGCACGTGAGAAAGTCAGTCTGAACTCTGCAAACGACAGCTTTTCCTCCAACACCAAAAACAACAGAGCCCTCGATGGGCCCGTCATTTTTCGGGCCCCATGCTGAATGCCTTTAAAACTGCCTGAATGAAGATAAGACAGGGTTGTGTACGTTTTCTGCACAAATGGTGGAAAGTAATAAAATAAACATCGGGGGCGGGGGTCCCGCCTACTCGCAGCTCCGTCGCTATTTGCAACAAAGGCCGGAAAAGGACGAAACCTCGGCGTGGAAGGGCAGCGGGTTAGAAATGCGCCCTCGGGGGGCGGGCGCCCCTCCCGGGAGCATCCACGCCACCTGGGCGTCAGGCCCCGACGTCCCGCCGCGGAGAGATGGCCCTGTCTCCCCGCGGTCAGTCGCCGGTGCCACAGAAAGCGCAGCGAACGTCCCGGAGGAGGACGGCGCCCGCCCTCGCCCTGCGGAACCGCCCTCCCGGGGGTGGGGGCCGCGCAGGCAGAACCGCACAGCGCGGGCGCAGGGGACCCGCCGCTCCTCGCAGGGGCCACCAGCCACGTAAAGGAGGAGGCAACGGAAGACAAAAGAAAATCTGAGGCCAACATGGGAGGGAGTCAAGGTCATCTCAGAAAGCGTAACCAATTTCAAGTCCACTAGTTTATTCATTAAAGAAGGAAACAAGACGGAGACGGTCCTCAAAGTGAAGTCCCAAGAAGGACACACCATGCGGCTCCGGTGGGCGGTCACTGCAGAGTGTGTCTGTCCTGAGCGTTCTCCGCTGTTCGTCCCTCCCGGCCGCGACGAGAGGGCTTGGCACTAGCAAGCAGCATCGTTTTAACCCCCAGAGAAGCCAACACACCGCGTGTAGCTGAGGGAGGCCGCGGGCCCCAACCCCGCCAGGTGCCCCTACAGGTGCCCCCCGGCCGTGCCCACTTGCCCAAATCGCTTCCGTGAGCTCCAGGGCGCAGGGGCCCCTCCCGGGCGGGCGGACTCGCGGACACGCACACTCGCGCGCGCACGCGCGCACGCGCACACCGCTGCCGCGCGCGCGCTTCCCATTGGCGGGAGGCGGGGGGCGGGGCCGAGCGGACCCAAAACAAACAACCTGCTGCCGCGCCGCCGCGTGGCCCCCGCCTGGTGCGCGCCGGCTCCGGAGCTGCGGCCACCTGGGCCACCTCGCTCTCCACCCCTCTCGGTTTGCGCCCAGGCCCCGCCCCCGCGGGGGTGCCGCGGGGTTATATTGGGCCGGGCCGAAGGTGGAGGCGAGACGGAGCCGCGGCTGGCCGGCGTGGGGATGCTGCTCCGGAGACCGGGGGCGGGAAGGCGGTTGCGGGCGCCACGGCCCCGGGGACTCTGCTCCGTGGGCGCTAGAGCCTGAAGGCCGGACCCTCCCTCCCGGCGTGGGTGGCACGCACAGCAGCCGGCACCGTCTCGGCCCGCGAGGACGCCTGCCCGGGACCGGGGACTTGCAGAGAAGAAACCCCCGTCTCGGGAACGGAAAGCAGATGCGCACGCTTCCTCCTCCAGCAGGAACTCCAAGCCCCGCGCGATCGGGCACCAGAGGCTGGAACCGCGGCCCTGCACGCCTCCCCCGAAGTCTCCACTCCTCGACCTGAAGGCAACAGCCCCCCGCCCCGCCCGCCCGCCAACTGCTTCCTCTCCGCCCCTCTCGGTTCACCCAATAAGCAAAACCCCTCCAAAGAATAATTCCACTGGAAGGGGACTCCTGTCCGGAAAGCGACTGTCTCTCCAAGAGGAAGGCCAGCTCCGGGAGAGAGAGGCCAGGACCCCGGCCCAGGATCGCCACCCCGCCCCCGGCGCCCGCTGCCCAGGGCCAAGCGGAGGAAAAGGGTACGCGCCGGGCGGGGACGGGCGCGGGCATGAAGCTGGAGGTGTTCGGGCCCCGCGAGGGCCTCGGGGACAAGCCGGGGAGTGACCTGGAGGGGGCGGGCGGCCGCGACGCGCCGTCTCCGCTGTCGGCCGCGGGCGACGACTCCCTGGGTTCGGACGGGGACTGCGCGGCCAACAGCCCGGCGGCGGGCGGCGGCGCCGTGGCGCTGGCGGGCGGCGGCG